TAGTGGAATCCATCGATAAACAAAGGAATACTGATAGTGGCATCGGTCGATAACAAAGATTTCTGGACAGATGGCGGTGTCTATGGCTTGTGCATTTTGCCATCACTTTTTTTTTTTTTTTAAACAATAAGGTCTCCAACTTTATTCCAATTGCCATCCATCCCTTTCACCGTCGTTATCGTTTCTATACTATAGGCGGTCAAGGTGGAAAAAAACAAACAAACAAAAACAAAATAATAAAAGATTTCTCTTAGAAGGGGGTAGGTAGGGTTTAACATTGTTTGTTGTGTCCAGCAGGATTTGAACTTCGGACCTGTTGATAGAAAATCAGGCTGGTGTGTGGTGTACCATTCCGCCGCCATCGGTATTCGAATCTCCTGACCTGATTACAGATACTTGTGGACATCAACATCATCCTCACCGTAGCTGTCCTATCTGCCGATGAGGGGACAGATAAAGCCTTCGACAATTACCGACAGATGTGGAGTTTAAGAAAAAAAGAAAAAAAAGAGAAAAAGAGGAAAAAAGAAAAAAAGGAAAAAAAGAAAAAAGAAAAAAAAATGTTGATCTGTGGGATGTGTTATTTGCTTTGTGACAATTGGATGATCTGTGCGATGTGTCATTTGCTAATTTACCCTTCTCTGTATCGTTCCAATTTTAACGGATGTCCCGAAGGACTGTCATTTGCTTTGTTTGGCTGATAGGCTTTCTTTCCCTGTCAGGTTTGGTTTCCTCTTCCTCCTTTTCTTTACCTTTTTTTTGCCTTTTGGCTGGCAGCGAGTGCAAGTGGGTCCTTGTGATGACACACCGGGATGGGGCCAGCCAGCGCTCAACCTGTCATCCACGTGGCTGGCCTTGTAGTACGTAAGAGGTGATGATGAACAGGCGGAGCTTTCCTTCCTTCCTTCCTTCTTCTTCTTTTTTTTTTTTTTTGGTTTTTTTCCGCCTTTGCGCTGCGATTCACAGTGTGACAATATATCTATATACGAGGAGTCGGTGACGGTGAAACTCGGACGAAACATTCTGTCGACTGCCGCCGGTGTCGTGTCCTCCTTTCCTGCCTGTCTACCAACGGCTCACCGGGCAGTTCTCTATGACCATGTATCGTCAAACTACATATATAGATGGATATGATTATCTATCTATATATCTATTTATAAAAATTATATCTGTATATCTATATATCTATATACCAGCATCACTTATAGTATCGTTGGCTAGGGGATTTTGCAGACTGTAGAGGGTTCATTCAGCCTTTTGATGAGTAGGTGAAACTTCGACGGAATAGTCGTGTCTGTCACAGCACCTCGTTTGTTGTCCTCTCCTCCCTCCCTCCCTCTCTGCCTACGGCTCACACCGTAAGGCAGTTCTCTATGACGATATATATTGTATACCAGTATTTACTATTTAGTTTAACCTTTTTTTTTTTTTTTTTTCGTTTCGTGTGTGTGTTTGTGGCACGTACCTACCTATCAACTAAGATCTTGCTGTCAATGGGCCTCACTCCACTCCTCACCCAATCTGCGAAATGAGAACGAATCTTCCGCTAGAACATGGAAAGATGCACCGCCATTTTTTTTTTTTTTTTTTTTTAGTGCTCGTGGTCTGTAGTCGAGCGAGAACCAATGCTTACATACACGAGTAGTGATCGCCGTGGGGAGCTAGCTGTGAGTCGAGCTTGCCTCTATTCTATTTTTAGCACGTAGGACTAAATTTTTATATATGTAGGTGCTCCGTGTGGCGCCTGGGTAGAGGACGGGGAAGATCGGGAGGGAGGGAAAAAACAGGAGGAGAAGAGAGAGAGGACACACACACATTCAGTGCGGGGCTGGGGTTGACATGTCATCATGGATTGAATTAGTGAATTGATTAATAAATTAATTAATTAACTAGGCTCGCAGCCGGGCCGCCCGGGTCACCCTATTTTCCCGGGCGGCCCGGCCGTGCAAGGACTAGGGAAGGTCCCAGCCAAAAAAAATCGAAAATATCCGAAAAAAACAAAAACAAACTGATTACCTTTTGCCTCAGGGCCACTCTGGTAGCCTAGTTAATTAATTAATTAATTAATTAATACAAATTATACAATCTGGATTGGATCGTGAATGTACTACTTCGCTTACTAAGGGCATGCTCGCAATGGGACTTGGAAGATGTATCTGTCCACATTTCCGGCCAGATTCTGTTCAGAACGAAAGTTCTACCTGTAGTGCGATTATGACCTGCCTTGACCGGAACCTCCCGCAAACAGGAGGTCCGACCTACCGTCCTTCCCCGAACATAACGCACCCTCGTTATGAATGAATACAAGCTAGGGTTTCGGTCCGATACAGTCTCAAGATGGGGATGCGTTATGTTCGGGGGAAGACGATAGCTCGACGTCCTGCTTGGACATGATGATGATGATGATGATGATTACATCGATGATTGATAATGGTGGTCATGGTGACGATGCAGTGATGATGCAGTGATGATGCAGTGATGATGCAGTGATGAATGCGGCGATGCGATGGTTTATGCCGATTATGATGGTGTGATGATTTCACAGTGATGATAGTACCAGTGATGATCGTGATGAGGATCATCACCGCTGTCATTACCCCTTTGGGCATTTAACTTGGACGTTCCAGGTCGTAATTTCGACCAGGAACGTTTTCCGAACTGAAATCATCAGGGCCTACAGTGTTCCCAGCCAGTAGGACCTGAAGAATTCTGTTAAAAAAATGCCGAAATTGCAC